TTTTTTTGAAACAGATCCTCACTCTGTCACCCAGGCTGGAGTGCAGTGGCACAATCTTCATTCACTGCAACCTCCACCTCCCAGGTTCAAACAAGTCTCACACCTCAGCCTCCCAACTAGCTGGGACTACAGGCATGCACCACCACGCCTGGCTAATTTTTTGTATTTTCAGTAGAGACGGGGTTTCACCATGTTGACCAGGCTGCTCTCTAACTCCTGATCTCAAGTGATCCGCCCTCCTTGGCCTCCCAAAGTGCTGTGATTACAGGCAAGAGTCACCACACCCAGCCCTCTTCTGATTATTTCAACGGTTCACCACTCTCTAACTACAGGATAAAAGCCAGACCTGATTTCTGGTCTTCCTCCCTTCTCCTTCATTCACACTTACCCTGTGTGCAAGCCTTTAGCTATCCTGTTACCCAAGGGCACCAGACTTTATACCTTCAAGCCTTTGCAAGGCTGTCCTCTGCCTAGCCTCCTCTTTTCTGCCCAGCAAACTCCTACATAACACCCTTTGAGAGTCAGTTCAATATTCTCCTTTCTGTGACAGCTTTCAAAGGCGGAGACTCATTCCATCTGCCACATAACCAGAGCACCTATACAAAACTCAAGTAGACCAAGTGCCACTCTGTATAGGTCATTATCTACCCCCTTGGGTGTCTGAATTCCACCCCAACACCTAGCAATACTCTGACACAGTAGGGGTGCATAATGTTTTGTGCAGAACAGTTAGACAAGGTCGAGCCTGATCATGGGATGAAGTTAATTTGTGATTATGCATACGATCAGCAGAGCAGGCAGGGCAGCTCCAGGGAATTCTACCAAGCAGTGTGCAGGATCTTACAGCATGTCATACATGTGCTACAGAAAAAAAAAAAAAAAAAAAAAAAAAAAAAAGGCTTCTGCATGTTGCTCTGAAGAGAAATGGGCAGTATTAAAATGTGTTTCCTATGAATGGAACAGAGGTAAAATAAGAGCCAAAGACCTAATTAATGAATATTCATAAAAGTATACTTGGAAGTATAAACACACACACACACACCCCAGAAACAGGTAGCGAAGGCTTCTCCCTAAAAGAAATCTCCTACCTTATGCTGGGGTGCCACCCTTCTCCAGTTAGTTACTGGCCAGTGGCACAGCACCACGGTCAACAGCTGGAGTGTCACACAAACATGGGTCTGAATCCCTGCAGCGGCTGGTGACCTAAGGCAGGTTTGTAAGTGCTCTATGTCTCAAGTTTCCTCATCTAGAGAATAGAAACATCAATAATGCCTTCCCCACTGTGTGTTGTGAGGGTTACATATGATGATACATGTGAAGCCTTGGCACAGTGCCTGGCATAACGGGAGTGCTATCAATGCTAGTTTTTATCATTATATTTTCAGGCAGGAAAAAGCTATACAAAGATCCTTTTTAAAACTCAAGGCACAAAGACCTGAAAAGAAGTAACCAAGTTGAAAGCAGCTGATGTCAGCTGTGAGGCTGTGCAACACTGACACCTAATTTGGAAAACAAAGTGTAAAGGGAGTGCACCCAACCTGAGAGAGCACCAAAGAAAAGGCACATAGTCCCTGAATGTGATGGAATGTTCTGTCCACCAAAGAGAATGGCTGAGCGTGCTCTGCTCCGCAGGCTGCCAAGACTGGGGAGCGGGGAAGGTAGACAATGCATGATGGATGAAAGCCAAGTGAAGGCCAATCACAGCCAATGAACTCTGAAAATCGTAACTATCACTTACAAACCAAACAATATAATCCAATTCTTATGAAATGACAAAAAAAAATCTATTTTGTTAGCCTGGTTACAGCAATAACCTGATTAATTTTATCCAAAAGACTACTCTGCAGAAGGAAGGGACTCTGGAGAAGCCCCTAAAACTTATCAGCATGTCTCCATCTCCACCTAGGAAAGAAGAGACAGAAGGGAGCAGTCCTGGCCAATGGCCCAGGTGGAAGACAGGATTTAAGGACATGATCAACATGTATCACAGCCCCAACAGACATAATAAGATTATCCACTTAAGTCACCTTGCTCCAATGCCAGCCAGGTTTGCCTAGTTGGTTTCTAAGGTGGATTTTTCATAGAAGAATGGAGCCTGACAACCTGGGTCTGAGAGTGCCTCAAAGTTCTATTTCTCACTGCAAGCAACGAGCTAGCATCCTGAATTCTGCTATCAGTGTCCTATGAGTTTGGCCCCTAAAAGTTCCAAGGCGCTCAATCTGGCTACACTGATAAAAATCAAGCTTTCAGAACTGAAGCTCAGACCCTGGAGCGTGACAACCCTGGAGAAGACACCTGAGCAGGGAGTCAGTCAGTCTTCCTCTCAGTTATCATGCAGCAATCACAGAAAAACTCTAACTGGCTGAAATCAGAAACCCTCTCTGATCCAGAGGTCTCTTCACAGGTTTGCTCTAGTGGGGAAACCATTTATATCATTAAACATCTAGCATTTAAAGCAGACTTGGGAGAGTGTGAAAGAAAGTACCAAACAAGTAACAAGACAAGGCATGCAACTCCTCTCCAAGCCACCCTGCAATATGACCTTTAATAGTCCCAATCCTCCCACTCTACTCACTAGGAAACCTGATGAATACAGGCACCCCCCACCCACCACTTGGTTCCGACATCTTAAAAATGGGAGCTCAAGTTGAAACAAGCTAGGTAGAGCCTTTAGAGCACAGTCCCTATGGAGAGGTATTCCTGATAAATTAACTGCAATTTACATACAATTACCAGTTTACTGGCTGGCCTTTTGTTCTGCACTTCTCTAGTCCTGTTCATTCATTCCAACAGCCTACCTGCTACAGTGTACAACTGCAATAAAAGCTTCAATTTAACATACTTTAACTATTAAAACAAGCTCATATTTATCTAATGGAAAAAATATTAATCACAGTGATTCGAAGGGGCATCCTTTAAAAATGGGATATAAGACTGGGGGCAGTGGCTGACACCTATAATCCCAGCACTTTGGGAGGCCAAGGAGGGTGGATCGCTTGAGCCCACAAGTTCAAGACCAGCCTGGCAACAGAGCAAAACCCCATCTCTACACAAAAATATGAAAACCTAGTTGGACTAGGTGGCACGTGCCTATAGTCCCAGCTACTTGGGAGGCTGAGTTGGGAGGATCACTTGCACACAGGAGGCAAAGGTTGCAGTGAGCCGAGATGGTGCCACTGCATGCCAACCTGGGTGACAGAGCAAGACCCTGTCTCAAAAAATTAAGTTTATTTTAAATTTAAAAAGGAAATTTTCTTTAAAAAGAAATGGGATGTAAGTGGCAGAAAGAAAAGCCACTGCAGATAAAAACAGTAGCCGACTGGCAATTACCTCCAAACCAGGGCAGGAAACCATGGGGCTAGACTAGAGGCCCAGAGCAATCCTAGCACGCCCCATGCCCTTCTCTAGCAGGATGGAGGGCACCATCAGTGTTGACACAAATTAATGCTGCAGTGGTAACAGGAGACTGCCTACAGATTGTCGGGGAGGGGAATAAGAATGAATGTCAGGGCTGGGCGCAGTAGCTCACATCTGTAATCCCAGCACTTTGGGAGGCCGAGGTGGGCAGATCACCTGAGGTCAGGAGTTCGAGACCAGCGTGGCCAACATGGTGAAACCCTGCCTCTACTAACAGTACCAAAATTAGCCAGGTGCGGTGACATGTGCCTGTGGTCTCAGCTAATCGGGAGGCTGTGGCAGGAGAATCGCTTGAACCTGGGAGGTGGAGGTTGCCTATAATCTCCTTTGGGAGACCAAGGTGGGCAGATCACTTGAGCGTAGGAATTCAAGACCAGCCTGGGCAACATGGCGAAACCCTGTCTCTACAAAAAATACAAAAACAAGCCAGGCAAGGTGGCACATGCCTGTAGTCCCAGCTATTCCGGAGGCTGAGGTGGGAGCCCAGGAAGTTGAGCTGCAGTGAGCCGTGATGGCACCACCTCACTCCAGCCTGAGCGACTGGAGAGAGGCCCTGTCTTTAAATAAATAAATGAGTAAAAAATGAACGTGTCGAATTGTTACCTTTATTTAGGGGCCCTCCATCTCAACACCACAATACCTTGGGGAATCCAAGGAAGCTGTGTCAGCTAAGTACCAGAAAACAACCTCCTAGAAGACACAGACTTTATCCATTAGCTTCATTTGGTGAGTTACTTAGTGCTACCATATGTATCTATGGTATCTGCAGTCAGTAGTAATGGCGGTGAAGAGAAAATACTTGAAGGCATTTTCAGTGGTTAAGCCAGACACACAATGGCTTAACCGCTATATCACTGAGGGACTTTGAGCCAATGGCTCCACTTCTCTGAGCCACCTCTGCCATCTGTAAAAGCAGAAGCGATATCCCCCAGGTTAAAGGGAGCAGCAGGAACTCAGTGAGGTTACAACTTCCCAATCCCTGAGAGTTCACACTGTGAACCAGCTACTCTTTGAAGCAACTTATAGGCATTATGTCATCTTATCGTTACATCAACCCTCTGCAATAGATTCTATCATCCCCTTGCCAAATGAGAAAACCTCACCTCACCTCAGAATTAAATTTGTGACAGTGCCAGAATGCAACCCAGGTCCATCAGCTTGCAAAACTGGCTCAAATATTTGTATGTAATGCTTGGCTCAGTGTAAGTGCTTGGGAAATGGGGTTTAATCTTGACATTGTAATGACTCATGGTACCAGCTATGAACCCACCATCTTCTAAAGGAAACTGACAGTCTTTACTAAGGTCATAAGCAGCTTCCACAGGGGCCTAAGGATTGGAAGATGCCCATGGTGACCAAGAACTTACAAAAGAAAAGGAAGGAGCAGGGAGCGAGCTACAGGAAGAAAGGAGAGAAGAATGAGAGAAAGAAAAACACATTAAAAATGGTAAAGCTCCCACATTTTAAAGCTCATTAACTTCTCACTGAATACTTGGATTACTTGTAATCTTGGCCTCCACTTCAGAGAAAGCTCACCCTCAGGCAACTCTATCTATAACTTCACCGCTGAAGTGTGGTCCGGCCAGCAGGATCAGCGGTCCCTGGAAGGTGGTTAGAAATGCAGGATCTCAGCCTCCACTCCAAAGCCTCTAAAACAGAAGCTGTATTTTATGAAGATCCCAATGACCTAAATACACATTAAAGTTGGGATGCACTGATCTGTAATTCATCCTAGCTTCTCTATGTACAATCATACATTTCTGCCTCAACAACCCAGTTTACCTAAGTTTTCCACAAGAGGTTTGGGTGGTGAACACAACATCCTGCCAACTCCTATGGAGGTTTGTAAATGCTTTAAGTCATGGTGGGAGCAGGTCACCAAATACACCCATTTCCAGTGGGTTATTTGGATGAAGCTTCTCATCATCCTCTTATCCTACTTTGCTTTTCAAGACATGTTCACGTTGAACCAAAAAAGGAGACTTTAGAAAGTATATTTTCAGGGCAGAGCTGGGCAACACTGATATTGGGCGTTAATCCACAAAGGTGAAGTAAGTCACTCAATTAGAGGAATGAAATCAAGCCCTTAATTCAACACCATAGCTGCACCATCTGTGGAAATGCTAATTACCCTTCTAGCTCTAGTGCCTTGTCTTCCAACACTCCATCATTACCTTGGCAGTGTTTTCCATACCAAGGGTACCAAATGGCGTAAGGAAGGACATCCGTACTTTTAATGCCCATGGCTACCTTGAAACACTTCTGTAATCTATTTTATTGCATTACAAATGATTGCCCTGCATTAATTTGTCTTTTCTACTCTGTCAAGCTCAGTCCCAGTCACTGAGGATGCCTCCTGTCCCAGTTAAGAGTCTGGCTGTAAAACTGCCTGGCCAAACAATGTCTACTGCTTATCAATAATTAGGATGCCAAATCACAGGTAAGGTGATGATACCCTTCCCCACAGATGGGAAGGAAGCAGCTGTAAACCGATAATATTTCCCACTAGCCTAATGAAGGCTCCCAAACATCTGGTGGCTCTAGCAGAGAGCAATGAAGCATCAATGCCAGTCACAGCCTCTATCAAAGAAAATGGTGTTCAGGTCCAAAAGCTGGCAGACAGAGGCTGGTACGAGACCAGGTACCATGGTGCTATCGGTCTGATTAAATAAGCACTTCCACAAGAACAAGACTATGCTGTCTGAAGCTGCTGTTTTGTCATCCATTCTCACAAAAAAATATTTCTGAGCTGCTTTCAGAGGCCTTCAAGGAGCTCACTTCTCTTGCCAAGTCTTTCTATGAGGAAGCTATTCTCAAAAGTCAGACCCCACCTCAGGCACAACCACATTCTCTTCAGTGTATCATGAGGATTAGAGCCAGAAGTCTGTGTCAATCAGAAGGCCAAGCTGGTTCACAGCACCAGAAATATACAGAGGGGAACAAAGATTTTAACTGGTTACTTTTAATTTCTAAGTCAGCCCTGAGAACTTCCACAAAAACACTGCATGCATTTCCTAGGGAACCCTGCTAAAATCAGACTCACCAGAGCCCCAGCACTTTCCTAATATAATTATAAGAGTTAAACTCTGGGATGTGGCCAGACGCGGTGGCTCATGCCTGTAGTCCCAGCACTTTGGGAGGCCGAAGCAGGCAGATCACCTGAGGTCGAGAGTTCAAGACCAACTTGACCAACAAGGAGAAACCCCATCTCTATTAAAAATATATACATATATAAAAATACAAAAAATAGCTGGGTGTGGTGGCACATGCCTGCAATCCCAGCTACTCGGGAGGCTGAGGCAGGAGAATCGCCTGCACCTGGGAGGTGGAGGTTGTGGTGAGCAGAGATCACACCATTGCACTCCAGCCTGGGCAACAAGACTAAGACTCCATCTCAAAAATTAATTAATTAATTAACTCTGGGATGTACAGAGAGGCATGCCACCTCCATATCCAAGTGACAAACTCACCACTGACTTGCTTTGCAGTATTTGCCAAGTTCCAAAATAGCTAGTTCAAGCCAATTCCCTGTATCCTTCAAGGAATCATCAGTCTACATACGGCAACGACGGCCCATATTGTTTCTCCCTAAAGCCTGCCTACAACCTGCTGAGTTCCCATATGTGGATTACTAAATCCTAGGTTAGAAAGGGATTGGTTCTGACTCTCGTGTAACTTTCATACCTTTATGGGAAAATAGTTAAGTTTAGCTACCCTGTTGGAATCGTATGAAGTCTTTCTGAAATGTTCACAGTAACACCTGGCAGAAGAGATCTAATAGCACAGAGTATATAGCCAAAAGCCTTTGTTCTTACATCTAGGTCAAAGGAAGACGATACCTCTTCTGTAATTAAAGCAGACTGGAAAAAAACAAAGCCGAGGGATTCCCATCACCACAGATGGACTTGGGTAAGCAATTTGGGAACACAACCAAGATATAAATGGCAGCTGACCCAGAAACTAAGTAGAGCATAAGTCAGAGCTTGCAATTACTATTAAAAGTCTATCAACTATTGAACACCTGTTACGCACAGAACACTGTACTAGGCACTCATAGGTGTAACCACAATCCTGTCAGAGGGTATGATCAGCCCCATTTCATAAAGGAGGAAACAGGCTCAGAGAAGTTAAGCAGCCTGACTAAGGTCACACAGCCAGTCAAAGGTGGAGGTGGAACTCTGAGGTCAAAACCCACTCTCCACCTTGCTCTGCTCTTGACAGGTAAGACAAAAGTAACGGGAACAGCCCTTCACAGCCCCACTCAGGGGCCCCAGAATCCCACCCCACAGGTCTTTCCTACCTCCAGTCAGTTCCATTGTCAGCTTTTCATTTTCAATCATTTTCTTCTTTTCTTCTAGCTCAGCAATCAGGTTCTCTTTCAGCTCAACCTTCTTGTCTTCAAATTCTTTCACTGCGGCCTTCTTTTCTTTAATGTAATTTCGTTCCACTTGTTCAGTCTAAGCAAAAGAGAAACACAGGCTGGGAGCACATGGCCCTGGGAGCCAGGGGCTCCAACTCCAGGTCTAGCCCTGTCCTCAACAGCAAAGAAAACACCTTTGCTAGAAACATGACAAATACAGTTTCACTCTCACACACACCTGCAGTAACAAGCGCAGTAACAATGTCTGAGAGCAAGCTTTCCGATGAACGCATAAAATCAGACCCATGTGACTTTTGCTGATTTTTGAGCATGCTTCACTTGTTACTCAGATATATTTCTCTTCCACGTCTTATATTTTATAATAAAACACATTTCTCAAAGATAAATAATTGCGAGGGCTGGGCGCGGTGGCTCAAACCTCTAATCCCAGCACTTTGGAAGGCTGAGGCGGGTAGATCACGAGGTCAAGAAATCGAGACCATCCTGGTCAACATGGTGAATCCCCATCTCTACTAAAAATACAAAAAATTAGCTGGGCATGGTGGCGCATGCCCGTAATCCCAGCTACTCAGGAGGTTGAGGCAGGAGAATTGCCTGAACCCAGGAGGTGGAGGTTGCGGTGAGCCGAGATCGCGCCATTGCACTCCAGC